GGATCTTAGTTCTGACACACCCTGTACATTATCTCTTTACATATATCCATAAAAAAATTGTTTCTACATCTTTCCGTTTTCGTATAATCAACCGAGGCGAATGAGGTGCGCCATCCTGTATTTACGAACTGGGTTAGGGTAATATGTTAATTTTAGGGGGGTGGGGGGGGGGGCAAAAAGTCGCAACTAAAATTTTTTCGCCTATCCAGTTCCACGGGTCACGAGCCGCCACTGATCAATATTAAAGATGCGATCATAGAGAATCGGAAAATTGGGTTTTCGAAAATTAAACTTCTGTCACAGTTACCCTTTAATTATTAATATTTGTTTGGCAGATCAAAATAATTAAATCAATTACTTTTTATTACTATAACCTATTTAAACATTTTCTCATTTAAACAGTCAGTGTTCGCGAAATGCAGGGATGTGTCTTGGCGCCTCTCCTATTCAATATATTCATGGCAGCGCTCTCCATTACAGTGGATAGCAAACTGCAGGAGAGAGGTTTGGGCATTAGATACAGATACGACGGCGCCGGCGGTCTGTTCAACATAAAAAGACTCAGGGCAAAAACACGTACAAAATTCATCACAGAGCTTCAATACGCTGATGACTGTGCTCTAGTTGCAAATACAATTTAGTTAGTTTAGTTTAGTTTTAGTTAGATCAATTGTAAGAAATGTTGAACATATACATGGGCATACGGGGGACTTAAGCTGAACATCGATAAAACTAAAATCATGTACACTCCCCCGGAAGATCACAACAATGCTATAAAAATCGGAGAAGAACTATTGGAATATGTGGCGGAATTCAATTACCTCAGCAGTTTGATTTCGGAAAAGGCCAATATCGACTCTGAAATTCAGCACAGGATTAGCAGCGCCTCAAGAGCATTCTGGAAATTAAAAGACAGGGTTTTCTACAATCATGACTTTAGCACAAAAACGAAACTTGCAGTGTACCGAGCAATAATAAGTCCCACCATGTTATATGGAAGCGAAACCTGGGTGCCGTACCGCCGACACATCAACGCATTAAAGAAGTTGCAACAGAGACATCTTAGACAACTCTTAAGAATCAAATGGTTCCATCATGTCTCAAACGTATCGGTCCTTGAAAATGCTAACTGCGAGAGTATTGAAGTCATGATTACAAAGTTCCGCTTAAGATGGGCTGGTCACGTATGCTGAATGCAAGAAAACCACATACCAAAATCTCTGCTTTACGGTGAGCTTGTAAACATGTAAGAGGAGGCCGGGTGGACAACTCAAAAGGTACAAAGATATTTTCCACGAAAACTGGGATTAACAAGCAGAATGAGTGGGAAGAAGCAGCTCATAATAGAACGGAATGGAGAAGAATTGTAAACTCAGTTAACAGCGACAACCAAAAAGTAAAAAGACAACAAAGCAATGAAATTTTTGAATATCCGGAGTGCGGTAGACAGATAACATCGCGTATCGGGCTTTTCAGTCACAGAAAAGCTCATGAAAGAAAACGCCTTGCGTGACCATCTTCTGATGCGTGTCAGATACTCGTCAGCGAGAAATGGCAGTAGTAGTTCGCGAAATGAAAGAAAAATATTTATTTAGTATTTCAATTATACACAAAAATAATAATTGCGTAATTGAAATCTATCGAGATTGAGTAATCCGTACAAACCTGAGCGAATTTTCCGAAAGATGCTTTGTTGGAATGTTAATTAAATCGTATCAATTTAACGTAATCAATTTGTAATTCCCTAGTATTGGGAGACCCGAGTCAGATATTTATACAGTTCCTTAATCGAATCAAGGAAATGAAAATGATTGGACGTTGAATAAACGAACCGCAAATTCATTCTTTCAACTAAAGAGAATTGGTTACATTTCAATATTTAAATTATTCGAATTAAATGAAACAGAATTGGGAAATAGTCACCAAATACGAAAGGCCTCGTTTTGTGCAGTAATACAGGGTGACCCATCGAAAACGTTCCACAAGGCATAACGGCCAGAGTATTTTTTTTTTTCAGAAAATTCAAAAACACGTCAATTTTGCTTGTGAGGGGGACAACTTTTGCCCCAAAAATGATTGCAAAATCTTCAACCCCCTAAGCGGGGGTGTCATTCCCCAACTTTTTTCAAATGGCAAGGGGGGTCAAGTAGCGCCGCAATGAAAAGAGGTTTCTATTCTCTATATTTCCCCGCTTCGTTTTTGAAAATCGGTCTAGTTATTGAGAAAATAGGAAGGATTGAAATTTGAAAAGTTTATTTAAACATTTATCAGAGTAAATGATAAGGATAAATTCCTTCGACCAATTTGCTATTTTCTCGTATTATTTCTAGATGTTTACGCATTTTTTCACTTGCCACAAGGTTGAACGATCAGGCGCGGTAGTTGCTACAAAAAAATTAAAATATTTAAATTCAACTATTCGAGAACACTTTTAAACAGATACGTCTACAAAAACCGTTGACGTTCTGTTAAAATGCCTTATTTTGTTTAAAAACTTATTTTTTTTACTTTTGTTTTAAAAAACTAAAGTGTTCTCGAATAGTAATAGAATAGAATTTAAATATTTTAAATAGTTTTTTTCTTTATTCATTGTATGTTTTTTGCTTCCCACGACGGAAAGATATAAACTTACTCCAGACTAAAAGATATTATACATTGTCCTATTCATTAACCTTATACAGGGTGTTTCAAAAAACACGTACCATCTCTCGTAGGGAGATTCCTCACATAAAAATAAGATTTATTTTTCATATCAACATAGGTCCGATTCTGCTTTGTTTCGTAGCTACAGGGTGTTAAAGTCTTGTAATCTTTCGATTTATTATAATTTTCTTCCAAGTACCTACTTTTAGTGATTCAAATGAAATTGAGGGTAAAATTTACTATAAGTGTTACATATTTTAATGCTAAAAAAGTGTCTATAAATTCATCAGTGACGTGCATATCGGTTATCAATGAAATATTTAAAAAAAAATGATTTGAAAAAAGCCACAGACTTTTTTTCTTTCCAACTGATATCAAAATGTTATAGGCCGCTTAATGCCAACTAAAAGTGAGTAATATTTTGTTGAATTCGACCTCCTTGATGAGATAAACGCATTTTTTTTAATCACAAATAATAAAATAAAAATAAATCTATTAATAAATTATATATTACTAGTTGAAGCCTGGCGCATCCTCCACGACATCAGGAAAAAAATACTTTTTATTTTTTGTTTAATTAAATGAAAACAAAAAATTCGGCGACGACAGTTTTTAGAAGAGCCAATTAGCTATCTTTTAGTAAAAAAAGCAACTTTCTAGAGCAAATCGTTACTTCTGTAGGGACGACACAGATAAACATTAGCATTTTATATATGTAGATACCTCATTAATTATTAAAAATTATTACTATTAGTTATTATTACTATTAGTCCAACCTACAGCAATTTGAAATATAAGAATAATGGTATTTAAGATAATTACAAAAAACATAATTTTAAAAAGATTTAACATCCTGTAACTCTAAAACTATGCATTTCTATGCACACCCATGTTTAAAGGAACTTTTTTTCATATTTTTAGCCGACCATACCAATAGGTATGGTAGGCTATTAGGATCGGCAAAAAAAAGTTTTTTTAATTTCACTCAAAATGAGTTATTTGGTTCATAAATGACCTAAATACAAAATATTTTCATGGTGTCTGTCTGTCTGTCTGTCTGTCTGTCTGTCTGTCTGTCTGTCTGTCTCTCTGTCTGCCGTCTGTAACACGATAACTCAAAAACCGCTGAACCGATTTTAACCAAATTTGGCACAAAAATACTGTGGCACCCGAGAATCTGGCCATTAGTTTTTGGTGGGGGTGGGGGGTTGGTAAGGGGGTATGGGAGGGGGTTCTAAATTTAAAAAAATCGTAACTCCAAAATTACAGTAGCTAACGAAACGCGGTTTTCAAATTAAGATTAGGAATAATATTTGCAACAAAATTTGTAATAACATCAAAATCAGTCAAAGTCGCAGTTTTCGAGATATTAACATATTTTAGTATGGGCAGCTATACGTCAAACCAATTTTTGAATGAGGAATCAATGAGTACTTATTTAAAATTTCCGCAAGTTAATAAATAAAATAAATATTATTTTTTTTAAAGGTTGCTATTAGACTTGGATCAAGGCAAATTATTAAAATTGCGTTTATCTCATCAAGGAGGCTAAAATCGAGAAAATATCGAGAGACAACTTTTAATCGGCATTAAACTGCTTACACTAGTTCGTTAACAAGAGAAAAAAAGATTGGCGCCGGGAGGCACGTATAGCCGCCCATACTATGTTAATAAAAAGTTGGTAGGCAGTTCTTTTAGTTTCAAAGTAAAGGAATTTTTCCAATTTTTTTTATCTCAAAAACTGCGATTTTGACTGATTTTGAAGTTATTACAAATTTTGTTGTAAATATTATTCCTAATCTTAAATTGAAAACCGCGTTTCGCTAGCTACTGTAATTTTGGAGTGACGATTTTTTAAAACTTTTAATCCCCTCCCATACCCCTTTACCAACTCCCCACCCCCACCAAAAACTAATAGCCAGATTCTCGAGTGCCACAGTGTAATACTGTATTTTTGTGCCAAATTTGGTTAAAATCGGTTTAGCAGTTTTTGAGTTATCGTGTTACAGACGGACAGACAGACAGACACCATGAAAATATTTTGTATTTAGGTCATTTCTGACCCAAATAACTCATTTTGAGTGAAATTAAAAAAACTTTTTTTGCCGATCTTAATAGCCTACCATACCTGTTGGTATGGTCGGCTAAAAAGTCAGTGGCGTACATGCTTTTTTAGCCTTAAAATATGTCGTATTTATAGTAGGTAACTTTTACTCTCAAAATTTCCTTCAGAATCTTCCAACCAGATATGGTACATGTTTTATGAAACACCTTGTTTAATATATTACGCAGACGGAAAGTAGCGGATACCGATATAGTGAGAATCAGCCTTTAACCGGCCCTAATTTGAATTACAGGAGACAATCAGGGCGTTAAGTTCCTGCGACGATTCAAGCAGCTGCTCAACCCCGCACAAGTATTCGACCTCATCTCTACCGGTCCTCGGCTCGGCCTCAAACTCTTCAGGCACTTCGATCCGTTCCGAATACTGGTGTGCAGCGGCGACGGATCGGTCGGCTGGGTATTGTCCGAGATTGACAAGCTAGATATGCACGTAAGTATTGGGGACACTCTTTTTAATATAGATAATCCTTATTTATTTCTCAAAAATACATAGGGACTTTACAGGGTGCTACAAATTCGAGGTACGAGCATTGGTATTTCGTAAACCGTAGTAGATACGCAGATGGTTAAATTGGAGCTTAAAAAAGTTTTAAAAATGTCACGGATTGCTGAGTTTAAAAAAAGATTTTTTTCGAAAATCAATTTTATTTTTTCCTGTTGTTACTTTTTAGAAAATCAAAAAACTCTTTGCACATTCTCATAGCCACTTTATTAGGGCTATCTGATAGTATTTTTAGATTTTCAAATTAGCTTTTTTTTAAATACGGACCTGCATTTTTTATTTCAAGTTTTGAAAGAAATCGGTCTCCTGCGTACAATGATATGCCACACTTTATACTTTTTTTGTTTTGGATCCCTTAACAACAACAAAACTATTTAATTATTATTTTAAATAATTTCAAGTCCGACTCTGGTTTTTTAAATTATTTAATCTGATTATATTCATCCCCACTCAGCGCTCATTAACATTGAATAAGAAAAAGTCGAACCAACTGAAAGATTCAAATAAATCATATCCAGGTCACCAATTTAAAGATATTATTTTTAACTTTTTTTATTGTGAATTTGAAATCTCAGTGTACGATCTAATAAATGCATAATATTAATCGTAGTTATTATAAATAAATCAACTTTTACAAACTAGTTTCTAATACTCTACATATTCGAGAGGGTTACCACCCTACCTATTGCACAAATTTATTATTCGTTCAATTTTATATTTATAGCTCTTTGCAGATATCTTCTTCTTATACTTCAAATATCAATGCATTTTGTACTCTTTATTGTAAATGACGTCAGGTAATGCACATAACATTTCCAATACATTTTCTGGGAAAATGATTTGATTGTTTATATTTTATTATATTTACCTATATTTATTTATTTTATATTATTTTTTATTGCATTTCATTTTTCGTATTCAATGTTTTACCCCACGTCATTGTTAATTTTGAAGGCTTTTCAATAATGTAACGATGAATATATTAAATATTAAACAAAATCAGAGCGGGACTTGAAATTAGTTTAAATGAATTGTGTTCAAACGTCAAAAAAAAAGTATTAAGTGTGCATATCATTGTACTCAGGAGACCGAGTTCTTTCAAAAACTGAAATAAAAAATGCAGGTCCGTATTTAAAAAAAAAATAAGTTGGCCTCTGTATCTCACAAATTATCAGCTAATATGAAAATCTACAAATACTATCAGATAGCCCTAATAAAGTGGCTATGAGAATGTGTAATTAGTTTTTTGATTTTCTAAAAAGTAACGACAGGAAAAAGTAAAATTGATTTTCCAAAAAATTCGTTATTTCCAAAAAATTCAGCAATCCCTGAAATGTTTAAAACTTGAAAGCACTTCGAAACTAGCAAACACATTCACTTCGAATTTTAAAACTGTTTCAATTGTTTAATGGGTTTCACCTTCTCTACGATAGGGGCGCTGTTAGGCTTTAGAGGTATGCTTAATAGTTCATTTCAACTAATTCGCGCAAACTAGTTTCAGAGATAAACACCTAGTTTATCTCTGCTGGTTCATTTAGTTCTCATCAGAGACAATCCCACTGAATAATCGTTCTAATCGGTCATTCGCAAACTACATACCTCTACGCAATTAATTTAAATGATCTTAAAACGTTCGCCGCGAAATAGTTCATTTTATATCTGCATAAGGATGCCCCTCTCTAATAAGATATAACGCCAAAACCAGAGAAGAACAATCGTAGAGAAGCGACAAAAACTGTCGGCACTATTGAAGTAAGGGGAACCAAGTTTTGTGACCTTCAAATTGGCGAACGTGAGAGATAGCATGTTTATAGCTACACCGAGAGAAATTCAATGAAGGCAAAAGAAATGAGAAAAGTTGTACACTGAAAAAAACATGTGTTCAGTAAAAAGTATATTAGAAATATTTAGGAATCATATGGAATAGTAACTATCTTTTAACATTTAACGGGTTTCCGCGATTTATGGATTTACCGCGTTCTAAATCATTTTCTAACCTATTCCTTTTAGAGAGACATTTTAAAATCGTATCTGATAATATTGTTTGCTTCTAAATTAATATTTGAAAGTGTGTTTTTAAGTAAAACAATATTAAGAAAAATTCGAATATTTATCAGCTGTTATCACAAGCATTAAAACAAACCAAAAAGTAAATAACATGATTACAGTTGATGGTTGGAACTGGGGTATTACAACAGCAAAATAAAACACTAATTGACCACAATACACCAAAACACTTTACTTCTGCAGTGCGTCAGCAGATGATTAAAACTGAAATGATTAAAAAACATAATATCTTTATACTATGAGACCATAGATGGTAGATTTAATTTAAAAAAAGAGAAAATCCAGAAAAGATTCAACGGTTCTGAAAATGTAAGCAATTTTTTTTTTAATTTTCAAAGAATCTCGGTTATTCTGGACTTTTTTGAAAAACGGCAAAGAGAAAAAATAGCTTCATTTATCGAGATCTACTAGCCCTGAAATTATTTACACTTATTTAAGACTCATCCTGTATATTAAAAAATCATATTTTACATAAAAAGCATATTATATTAAAGATAACACAACTCAAATTAGCGTCGCTAATATATTATATATGCGATTAAATATTTCATTTTCTAATAGTTTTAATTTTCTAATTATTTTTTATTAAACGCTAACAAACCTGCATCTATTTTAGGTTAGGTTAATATTTAGTTCTGAAAGTTAGTTCTTTCTTTAAGTACTATTATGGTAAGGATAAGATATAAAAAAATTAATTCAAAAAGATTAATGATATACACAAATAAAAAAATACTAAAATTTCAGGACTTTATATTAATAATGGCAACGCTGGCCGTATTCCGAAAACACGTTGAGATGACAGTTAGCATGTTTATCTCCCACTCCAAATTTTTAGGCGGGATTCGTTTTGTCGCTTCTCTACGATTGTTCTTCTCTGCCAAAACTGTCTTGTCAACTTTGACAGTTGACAGAATAACAAATAACAAAATAAAACATTATTTTCGTATTTGAAAAATTGCAATGTCACAAATAGATAGACAGGAAAAATGTTTTTCGTGAAATTTGTATGAATTTTGAGAAAAAGTGTTTTGTATTTCACGGATTATGTATCTATAAATTAGGAGTGGCAAAAGATAGTGGTTTGGTGTATTATGGCAAATTAGTGTTCTATTTTGCTGTTACAACACCAAAGGTTCCAACCATAGACTTAAAATAAAATATAGACTACACTATTTACATCTCAACGCGGACAAACAACCTTTTTTGTACACATGTTTACTTCTGGGTACAGTCGACCGAGCCTTCCTCATCCAGCCTATGTTGTCACGTCTTTAATATTATCAATATTTTTTTTCTTGTTATACACATATATTGAGATATTAATACTACAGTTTAATAAAGTAGGTTTTAATATTCCATAGATGTATTAAATAGTCCTTATACTACTAAATTATAAGTCGGATACTGTTTAATAAGGATAAGTTCTTTACAATATGACAACACCGATTAGAGGCGAGGGAGCCTATTCATTCATTTATTACCTTGTAGTACGTGTCGCACGTGTGCGGTAAAGCTTTGTTGCCGCTATCTCCCCGGCTGTATTAACGCATTTTCTTAGCTTGTAGTCCTTAAGTGTTTATTTTATTGACTTTTTCTGTTCAAAAACTATAAAATATGGTTCGCCAGTGCCAAATTTGCAAGAAATTTGACTTAAATAATCCATTTAAGTCTTGAAACGACTTTTGACCGGTAGGCAACTCTCAATTTACCCATTGGGAGTCAGTGGCGTTGTTGTAGAAAGGCGCTTATTTAGATAATATTTTAGTAAAATGTAAAATCTGAATTTTTTCTTTTACATTACATTATTTACTTACTTACATTGTAACAAAATCATAATTATTATAACCCTGTTAATAATTAATAATGTTTTTATTAAAAATATATTCCGGTTTATTCTAAAATTATCTTCAGAATCTAAAATAACATACAAGAATTTTAAAATGATATTACATTATGAAATAATATTTTTTAATATACCGGGTCGTCTCAAAAGTGGCTCACCCCTATAACTTTTTTTTATTTTTTCAGATAAAAAAACAGATTTGTATGTTAGTAGGTATATGACATAAATTAGGATTTATTGATGTATTCAATTGTTTTTGGTCTCTTCCTGTTTCACCGAAATGATTACATCTTTTGATTTTTAAAGGCACGAATAAAATAATAATTTTTTTATTTTTTTATAATAATAATAATAATTTATAATTCGATAAAAAATGACACTCTGAATAGAATGACATATCATATGTCAACTTTTGACATTGTCGTTTAAAAACATATCCTATTTTAAATTTCAATCCAGTTTTTTTCAATCCACTAAGTTTTAATCAAGGAGCCTTGGAAAAATAGTTTTGATCGTCTAATAGGTTTCGTGTCTTGTCTAGGCCGCTTAAAAGATGTACAAATCGTATTTTTAATCATAAATATGTCAATTTTTTCAAATGGAACAAGGGTGACTCATTAGCATATTTGGAAAAAGCATTTTTTATGAATATATTGATACCACACACTTGGTATTTCGAGTCAAATTGTCGTTATGAACCGCGTGTTACAATTACAATTAAACCATATGCGAAAATGTCAAAAGTTGACATATGGTATGTCATTCTATTCAGAGTGTCATTTTCTATCGAATAAAGTAGAAATATATCGAGGGTGCCGTTTAAAAATTAAAAGTTATAGTCATTTCCGGTGAAACAGGAAGTGGTACCAAAAACAATTGAATGCGTCAATCAATCCTAATTTATTTCATATACTAACATACTAAATCTTGTTTTTTTATTTGAAAATATAAAAAAATTATGGGGGATGAGCCACTTTTGAGACGCACCCGGTATAATAAAGACAGTACCGAGTTAAAT